TCTTCTTTGGGTTTATCTTGCAGCCAGCTGCATTGTGTCCAGCTGCACCGCATTTTGAACAGTGAATGGTGCGGCCAGCCCTTCCAAGTGTTTCTTTCTGCTTCTTCTTCTTCTTTGGTGATTCATGTTTCTCTTTGATTCTCTTTTTCGGTTTTTTCTTCTTCTTTTTCCCAGGAAGCATAGTTTCTGGAGCTGGGCTTATTAATCTGAAACTACCTCTCATCCAAAAACGTGGTCCTCTTACCGTGTTGATGGATTCACTGTAATTCTCTTGCCATATTGAAGTCGAGAAGAAGTCTGAGACATACTCTTCTGCATCTAATCCTGCATCTATCATCGCACCATAAGCATGTTCACATGGTATCCCTGTTATTTGCCACTTACCACATGAACATGTCCTCCTTGTATTGTTCACGTCATAAGCATTCCCAAAAAGAGAAACCTCAAATACTCCATAAGTACCAGGAATCGTTATACACTTCTCAGCATCCTTTTTCTCCGATTCAAGTATTTCAACAACATATTTTGTAAACCTCTGTTGCCGCCTCAAAGACTTCTTTCTTCTCTTTTTGATTCTAACCATTGCTTGCCATCTAATTGTTTCCAACATTGGTACTATTGCTTTAGCTCTAGCTTTGGTAATAGTTGAGTTAAATGACTCGGTTGCATTGTTGTCTACATCATCACAGAAGCTTCCAAGCCTATAAAACGCCAAACACCAAGACTTTGGATCTTTCTCCATCACATCTTCATACAAAGCCATGCTATAGTCCTTCATATTTTGGAGATTCTTACGAAATTGTGTAGGGTTATAGCTCCAAGCCAAGTTCCAAACCATTGGTTTCAGAAAATCTTTGCTTTTATGCTTTTTCTTCAAATTCTCCACAATATGTTTCACACACCTTCTATGCTCTGCGTTTGGCAATTCAGCTTTGATTGCACTAATGAGCCCCTGAAAAAGATAAAAGAAAAGTTATACAAGAACTAAAGATATTAAAGAAAATTAAAGGAAAATTTTCAAAGTTAATAAAAAATCATATGATTACCTTTGAGCTATCAGATATAAGAACGAAGTTAGTGCCATCTTGAAGACCTAAATCCACTTTGATTAGCTTGATAAACCATAGCCAGTTATCTGAATTTTCAGCTTGTACAACGGCCCAAGCAACCGGATAAATCTGATTATTTGCATCATGACCTACAGCTGTGAGCAATATACCTGTCACATTGGACTTCAAAAACATGCCATAAAATCCTATGATTGGTCGACAGCTCCCTCTCCAACAGCTTCTAAGTCTTTCAAAACAGACATAGAACCGATTAAAAACATCTTGTTTTTCAGCATCGGGGATAGTTTCAAGTACTACTTTTGATCTCGGGTTTGTAGTGAGTATCTCTTTCACATACCCGCGGAGATGAGAAAATTGTTCTGCATACTCCTTTTCGAGCCATTCCAAAGCAAGCAGCCTTCCTCTTTGGCATTGATTCCTAGACGCAATAAATTTCCAGACATCCTTGATTTGTGACTGAATTTTCTCTGGCATCAAACCGCTATCTTCCCTTAGCTTGTCTAGAAACAACCTTGCTATAACCGGACTTTTCATAATCTTACACTTCCCATTAGGAGTACAACTATGATACTTGTACCTAGACTTCACCAACCACTTCTGACTAGACTTATCATAAGAGCAATATATCCGCCATTTACACTTGCCTCCAATTCCACACTTAAAGCTAAGCTTTGTCTTATCCCATCTATCTTGCACAATGTTCTTTGTTTTGCTAAGAGCATACTCTAACACTGCCTCTTTAAACTCAAAACCCGTATAGAAAGCTGTTCCGAGAGCTAGTGCATCCTTTGATCTCTTTCTCATATTTCTATCTCTTACAACCAACTCGTCCTCATCTTCATCCGAGCTTTCAGGAATAGTATTCCGGCCAATATACTTCTCATCAACAAAGTCAGCAGTTGACTCCTCAATCTCATGCTCATATCGATCCACAGTTTCCTCATCATCTTCAACATTCTCGATTTCTACATCATTGCCATTCATGAATTCCTCTCCATTCTTTCTCTCATGCACGTTTTCATCTTCAACATTCTCTGTTTCTTCCTTCTCTCTTAGTTCTCTGCCACTTTCAAAGTCTCTGTAAGTTGAAACAACAAAGAAACCAAATATTAAGATAAATACCTCATACTAAGAAAATTCTCATGAATGTAAAATAATGTAATAAATCATTTCACTATCAACTCAATAATCAACAATAGTGAAAAGATTCGTTTGGTTTCTCTTTTCATGTTTTAGCTTAAGAGAAGAATATGTAATTCTATATATTATCAATGGAAAGAGAGATACATATATATATATATATAGAGAGAGAGACGATGAATCCATGAATGGGATGGGAGGCTATGAAGTTGACGTCGGAGGAAGACCAAGAAGAAAAACGCGTGTTTCACAATCCCTAATTAAGATCCCTAATCACTTATATTTTCATGTTTTTCATTTTTTGGGGGGTTGGGTTTGAATCGGATTCGGATCGGATTGTGGGCAAACGTAATTTGCTAAACGCGTTTTAATGAATTAAATAAGATTAAATGAATTTAATTGATTTTGTGGAATTAGTTAGAACTGAATAGGTTAGGGGGATTAGTGAAGAGACCAAAAGTTTGGGGGGTTTGAGTATGGGATTCAATTGTATCTGCCGAAGTCAACCCGGGTCTATACATTTAGAAAAATCTAACTTTTACGTCACTTTCAGCAATTCTCGCTAATAATTTTGTAATATCACATGATTATAGAACAATTTGACATAAATATGCTAGATATAAATAAAATACTCATTTAAAATATATATGTTTATTTTTTCTTTTGTTAATTTGACTTTTTGTTATTGATTTACAATTTTTTTTGTCAGTTTAACTTTAACTTATTAATCTTAATTTTCCATTCTAACATGATAGCTTTTCATTTTTTGTATGTTATAATTTATTTAAATTTCTAATCAAATTTGTTTTTTGTGTTTTCATGAAAACGCTGATGTGAGCCAATCATATTGATTTTCTTTGTCCTTTGTGGATGTTTTCGGTGCACTAAGGCATCAAATTTTATATTTAAATCTTATTAAGTAAAATAATAACAATAATTTTGTACACATACATTTGATTTAGAGAAGAATTTTCTTGCTAAGATTTTGATGTTTTACTTTGGTTTCCATAGGATTTCTACAATTTTTGTTTCTTTAAGGTTTACATTTTCAAATATTTAGTTTTTTTATTGTCTCGTTGATGATGTGTACCTATCTTATTATATAAAGTTGGATGCATCAAAGTTTGTAATTCATATGATTGTGACATGTGGCAAGACAATCGATCAGATTTTGACATATATCGCGATTAAATTAACAATAAAACAAAAATAAATAAAACAATATATTTCAGTTTAGAAAAAGGAAAATAACTTAAAACACTAATCCTTAAAAAAATACAATTTGGAAAAAAAAAAAGCTAATGAAAAGAGATATTTCAATTTGAAAAAGGAATAAAGCTAAAACACTAATTTTAAAAGATAAAAAAAATACAACCCACGTCTATATAAATACATAAAATCTCTCATATTTTTTTACCAAACAAAATAATACTTTTGGAGCTTCATTCTATAGGTATAATTTTCCTTATTTTATTGTATTTAATATTATTAGAACATGTTATACAGTATTCAAAATTTTGATCAATTATATGATTCATTCTGTATTCCAAATTTGTATCATTCAAGATTTGTTTGCTGAATATTGTATACATCAAAAGTGTTTTCAGTTTTCAATAGTTAGAAAATTCTAAAATAATTACATGGAAAATTTTCAAAGCAGAATTACATGAAAATATAATCCTAGATGCTAATGATGAGTTCAATGAGTAGGATGATCAACAAAAATCATGTAAAAAAGCTTTTGACACGTGTCTTGAGAAGCATAACTTCTCTATAAAGCAAAGAAATCATATACGAGAGATGCATGTGGAGAGAAAGAGAAACTTTGTTTGCTTGGAAAGAGTAAATGGGGAGAGAGTTAACATAATCGAAGAACTCGAATTGTATATGCAAGTTTATAATGCAGCAAAACAGAAACAAATAATTGATAAAATATTGAACTACAAGTAAAGTATTGCTAAGGATCCGCAATAGACTCTGTGTTTTAAATATTTTAATTGAAAACAAACGAAAATTATACTAAACAACTCTTAGATTTCGATTTTATGTTTATAATATATTTTTTTATCAATGATCTGATTTTATTCTAATTTTTTTTCAAATTATTTGTAATGAATTTAAAATTTTGTTATTATAAATCCACATACATGCGGGTCCTAATCTAGTACATATATAATCCATGATTCATATTGATTCGTATTTAGTTTTGTTAAGAAGCTTTAATGATCGTGCAAACCCGTTTCTTACTTCTCCACTAAGTCTTCCACGAGTTTTAGCTTATATCTTTATTCGGATTATTAGTGAGATATTTTGTTCTTTTTTCTTGTAGTTTAATATTTGATAATTTTAGTTTTAAAACTTATAAGGGATCAAAATCGAATTCAAAGAGACCCACAAAGTTTCAGACATGTTGTATAAGCCTCTGGATCCAACTTCTCAACATAGTTTTAGATATACTTGCATGCTCCTTGATCGCGATTAGTGATCATCATCACTTTTGCGTAGCATTTATCTTTGCAGTTATAGTTTCAGGTCTCTATAGTCTATGTCTAAAGGTGGTATCAAACACCATATACAAGATACAACACACATGCATATAAACAAAATACAAGAATTTAGGATCTATAAAATCCTAAATTAAGTTACTCCATAGATAAATTAAGATGCGGTGAGAAACCTTCGATGTCCCTAAACATGTTGGGTCTATAATTTATCCACCATCTTTCAAAATTTTGAGTCTCTAGCCTATAGTTTATGGTATCAAATATACATGTGAACAAGCGGTGAAACATGAAGAATGTAAAACATCATATATAACACAAACAATACATACATACATATAAAAAACAAAATCAAAAGTAAAAAAAAAAATTGGATCTGTAAAATCTTGATCACCTATACTTCTTTTCAATAACCTTCTTGAGTTGTCCAATAAGCGATGAGCTCGGGATGCATATGGTCCTTTGCTTCCTTCACTAAACTTCCTTCTCTGCCTCCAACATCTTTAACAAGCTCACAAATGCTCAGGCATACTACAATGTACCTACACACACCCTGAGATTCCAAATCTACATATAGTATATGCCAGTTCTAGTTCTCTAGTCCTTACATTGTATCAGGTATAAGTAGTCTACATCAGTCCCTTCGAGTTCCTCCCTAGGGCGTCTTCCGCCATATACTCTCCACCTCCGGTGACGTCTAATAAACTGATAGAGATGAAGAAGAATACGTGATTGAGACTTAACGACTTTTGGTGGGAGACAAATTGAAAATATTGATTATTTTTGAAATTTAGTGGAAAAAACTCCTCAGTTAAAGATGAATCGAAGAAAAATCCCTCAACTATAAATTCTTTTAACTATCAGTCCGTTAATGAAAAACCTCTCTGTCTATAGTACTGTTAAATTTTTAATAGTGAATGTTAAATCAAAGTTGTGCACTTATGGGTTGTAAAAAATGACGTGCCATTTTGCAAAATCCTAAATGATTTTAATGTAAAAGCCTCTCAAGTAAAGATAAATAGAGAATAAATCCTTCAACTATAAATTTAATGTGAACCTTTCTCTCTTTTCTGCTTAAAGTAATGTTAAAATGCAAATACTAAATTTATGTTAAAAGTTTTGGATTGTAAAAATTAATGTGGATAATTTTAACGAAACATAAATTACCTTCCTAAAACCAAAGCGACATAATAAAATTGAACAAATGTAACGTGTACTTCTCTGTTGAATCCTCTGCTTGAATTTCATTAGTTTCGACCTCCTTATTCGTTCTCGTCATCTATCCCAAGATGGAGAAGAAGATCGAGATCGAAGTGGCTATCGTCGACATCGTTTCGTTGGAAGAGAAGTGAAGGTTTTGATTTGACCGATGGGAATGTGACGACCGAGAGAATCGACAGTTGTTTGATCGCACATATGAGAATCCGGTCAGATTTCTATTGTTTATGCATCAATAATTTAGTGGCTTTGTTGATGAGTATAAGTTCTTAGATGAAAGATCAAAGTTGCTGCGCAGTAAAAAAAAACAAAAAGAGTTTTATCGATTTGAAGATTTAGAGGGGAGAGATTATCTGCTCTGTTTCTTCTGTACCACCTGAGATTCAAAAAGTGAGTGAGTCCAATTATGTTTTTTGTTGTCTATGCTTGCTTACTGCTTAATTATCTTTATCTCTGCGAATCCTGTTTCTTTGATCTTATCAAAGACGTAATCCCGATCTCGTCTTCCGCATCGATCATCGATGGAATTCCTTTCAATCAAACACTCACAAAGTACCTTAATTTTTGCGATTTCAGTGGTTTATCACCATCTTTATGGGTTACTTAATTCAATCCTATGATATCTTTTTTATTTTGTTAATTGTGCAGCATAAGCTGAATAAAAGCAACCGCGACAAACTTCAGCAGTTCGTGGCTATCACAGGAGCTAGGTAACTGGATCTATCTCCGAGAGCAGGCTTTCTCACTGATTTACTCTTTAGATTTGTTGTTATTTTTCTCAAACTGTGTTTTGGTGACTTGTTGGCAGTGAGAAGAATGCTCTTCAAGCTCTCAAAGCCTGCCATTGGCACCTCGAAGCAGCGTTTGATGTGTTTTACAGCCAGCCCCAGCCAAGAAGCAATGCTGATATGAGACGCTTGGAGGAGCTCTACAATAGATATAAAGGCAAGCTACTTTGTTACTCTTGTCTTGATTAAGGCCACGTTTGACATATCATTTGTCTACCTTTCACTTTTAAAAATGTCATATTTGATTCTGCAGACCCATATTCCGATATGATTCTAGCGGATGTTATCTCGGTTCTGTGTAATGATCTTCAGGTATTTCATCTTTTTGAATAATGCCAGGATTGATGTGGTTTATCTTTACAGAGCATTAATAACAACCGACTTGAATTTTTCTATTCTCTAGGTGGAACCCCAAGATATTGTCACGGTAATTTTAAAACATTTTCGTACTATTTGCTTGTGTGCATGTGTTTCTTCCTTTCGTCATGGGCTACCATAAAACCACCCAGTATGAATTAAGTACACTGTGAGAGACTGACTTGAAAGGTTAAGAGTGACAAGAATTGAGGTGGATGAGAATATGATGTGTCCATGGATGGAGATTCCGGAGAAACATATTAAATATGGGGTCTTAAACTCATTGGTTTTCTAATTGGTTGCTCTTAGTTTTCTTGTTCTTCTTATGGACATTTAATAAAAAGCGTACTTGCTCCAATTTCAGTTGGTTCTTTCGTGGCATATGAATGCTGCCACAGCGTGTGAATTTTCCAAGGAAGAATTTGTTGGTGGATTACAGTCAATAAGGTTTGTGAACTCTAATCATTGCTGCTTTTAATTTCTCTTACGTTCTGGCCTGTTCTAGGACCTTTTTGATTCGGAGCTTAACTTCGAGACCAAATTTTCTGATGGCAGTGTAGATTCCATTGCGAAGTTGCAGGAAAAGCTGTCATTTATGCGTTCTGAGCTTAAAGATGAACGTAAGGAGAAAACTAAGTGGCCATTGTTTGTCTAATTTACGATTTGATTGATGGAAACTCCCATGTTGGCTGACATATGTGCAATGTCCTTCTTGTGGATTTTATCTTGTTCAGAAAAGTTCCATGAGATATACAACTTTGCTCTAAGGAGTTGGTTTCTCTGTTGTGCTATGCGATGACATCTGTTCTTCATCTTATGATTTATTAAATAACATGTAATTTCTTGAAGAAGATATATCTCGATTTCTTCACTTAGAACTGCTTGTAGAAATTCAATTGTTTTATCAGTAGAATGAAAATAATAGCAATTGGATGTAACCATGTGTTTAGGGCATAATTATACGAAATCGATTATGTTGATATACTCATGAGATCTGATTAGCTAGTCAACACAGCTCATTAACATAAGTATTTGATTCTAAAGACACTGATCTTCATTTAATGTTTTTGAGCTTTGCTCTAATGGTGGTTCCGTTTTGTTTTTATTTGATTAGGGCGTGGAGGTACGTCTGGTAAAATATTCAGGTTGTCACTTGGTCTTCTCGTGGCAGCCAGAATGAACTGTGTAGACAACACAGGAGCTAAGAACCTTTACGTCATTTCGGTCAAAGGAATCAAAGATCGTCTCAATTGGATACCTTATACTTGTGTTGTTGACATGGTTATGGCCACAGTCAAGAAAGGTAAACCGGATCTCAGAAAAAAGGTTCTTCCTACTGTGATGATTAGGCAGTGTAAGCCATGGCACGAAAAGACGGTGTTTTCATGTTTGTTGAAGGTAAATTCACAGTTTCTTGGGTTAAGCATTAAGTTTATGGCTCATATTTATATATATGTGTGTGTGTATGCTAAAAAGATTCATACTTGGTTGATTTTTCAGTTGTAGATAATGCGGGAGTGATTGTGAACCGTAAGGGAGAAATAAACGGTACAAGACACATTTAAGTTGTCATTTTTCAAACACATGTTCCGATCACTTGAATTTTTATTTTCTAGATAAGATCTTTGCTGAGATGTTTGGGGCGTTGTTATGTGGTTTTTAGTTCTGCGATTACTGGACTGATCGGGAAAGAGTGTGCGGATCTCTGGCCAAGGATTGCAAGTGCTGCTAAGGTCATCGTCTACTCATGTTGCTGGCTATCTTATTCAACAAAACTGGAATGTAGTTTAAAATGAATCTTTGATGTTTTGGGTGTTTTCAGACTTGGTTTATAAGAGACTTGCTTGGTTTTTCCAGTTATGGGTTTTTAATCAAAATCTTTTGATGTCAAGTGAGAAAAAGCTCTGACTATAAGCTTAGCAATGGATTTTAAATTTTTTTTACAGTTGACTTAATTGCATAAAATCAAAGTGGATTAACAAAACAAAGTGTAAATTAAACCAGAATATCATAAATGTCCAAAATCGAAAGTTAGAAATTTGCATTTACATCACCTTTTAAAAATAAAAACACATCAACTAATACAAAACTTACACATATGATTTCAGTTAAAAGACATTGATATTACTACTTTCTGTTAAAAAATTATTAAATAGAAAATCAATAAATTAAAAAAAAATATGACATTTATACTTTATGTGGTCGACAAATATTTTGTAATAATTCCATATTCAATAGTAAGCATATAACAAAATACATCGTTAATATTACTATATTATAAAAACCTATCATAAACACTCAATCAACAACATAAGAAGAAAATAAAGAAGATGGAGTTTGTTAAAGAACAAAAAGATCTATTCACAAAAATCACATCTTTCAAATAAAAAAAAATTCAAGTACATGATCATAACTATAATAAAAAATATTATATTTAATACAGTAATTCTATTTTTCTTTCAAAATAAACATATTAGCTGCATTTTTTTGAAGTTAAAATTTTCAAGTTTTCTATAAACTTAATTATTGATGGTCTTTTAAAAACAACATATTCGGTTTACATCAAAAATACAACTAAAAACTAAAAAAAACTTATAACCAAGCAAATATATAAGTCATTTAAAATATTATATTAATTATATTTTCAAAAAATACATAATAAAATATAAACATGTGTGTCTACGCGGGTTATTACCTAGTACTATATAAAAGTTGAAGGCATAGTACATTGTAGACGTACACATAGGACAAAAAAACTCGATCTGATTGGTCCACATCAGCATATTCATTAAATAAAAACTGTTAAGTATGATTAAAACCTTAATTTCATTTTAAAAATGGAAAAATTAAATAAAAAAGTTAAGTAACAAATAGAAAAGAAAATTATGTTAAAAAAAATAGCATCCTGAAAAATAAAATAGTAATTTGTTTTCAAAAGAGTTAAAATAACAAAAAAACCAATAGCATAAAAGTTCAAACTTATAATATAGATTATAAAAATTCTAACTTCTAAACTAATTGACAAGAAAATAAAAACATTGATTTCGTTTTATAGATGAAAAAATCAAAATAGAAAAACCTTAAGTAACAAATAGGAAAGAAAATTATGTTAAAAAAACCAAAATATAGCATCCATCAAAATTTAAAACATTAGATTCGTTTTATAAATGGAAAATTAAAATAAAAATGTTTAAATAACAAATAGAAAAGAAAATTATGTTAAAAAACCTGAACAAATAGTATCCTTAAAAATAAAATGGAAATTTATTTTCAAATGAGATAAACTAACAAAAAAAATCAGTATCATAAAAGTTCAAACTTATAATATAGATTAGGAAAATTCTAACTTCTAAATTAATTGACAAGAAAATAAATAAATATTAATTTCATTTTATAGATGACAAAAATAATTAAAAAAGTTTAAGTAACAAATAGAAAAAATATATATTATAAATCAAAAATATAGTATCCCTTAAAATTAAATAGAAATTAATGTAAAATAGTCAAACTAACCAAAAAAGCAATATCGTAAAAGTTAAACTTATAGCATATATTAGAAAAAATTATAACTTATAATGCATTGCGCATATACAAATATATAATAATAACGCATAACTGTCTATATGCTATTAGAAAACTGTTCATCATCAACGACGAGAACTTTCTTTGTCAAGTTAAGCTAATGGTATCACCAATGGTGGAAGTCATAATAAAATAAATGTTCACTTGCAATTAAAAAGATAAGAATATTTTCCTAACAATTCATTTATATATTCTAAACTAGAATACAAACTATGTTTACTTATCACCCTCTTACATTTTCTAAACAGTGGGCTAATTGTTCGTGTTATTCTTCCGCCAATTTTCAAAGAAAATTAATGAAAAGTGTTGTCAAACTTGTCGTGCTCCTGGCCACAATTATGAACCCGAAAACATTTCAAGGTTTGTAATCTCAAACATATAATTACCATTGTTTTACTATTCTTTATGAAAATATGATGAATTCTGAAATAAATTAGATAATAAGATTTATTTAACTCTTAACACCATACTTTAAATTGCATCATGTAGAAGTATTATTTTTGAATTCCGCTTCTTCCACCCAGTTTTTTTCCGACAAAGGTATTAAAGCAATTACCAACTATTTGACATGGTAAGTACGCTCACATGCATAATCTCACCATACTTTAATTTTCTATTGTATTTTTAGATATGAAACCAAACTGTTTTAAAGTTATTATGATATGATGAGAAAATAAACATGTTTTTTATTAAAAGCTTTTTTAGCTTTCAACATGTTATAAATTTATGTTTCAAAATAAAATAGGAATCATTATCAAAAGAGGCAAATTAACATAAGAAAAATTCGTGTAAAAGAAAACTAACTTGGGCTAAAGTTTTTGAAAATAATGTAAAAAAAAACTTAACTAAAATAAACAAGTGATGTTATAGTCTTTTAAGAAAAGTCCTTCTAAGATTTAAATTCAACAGTTAGAGCATATCAAATCAGCATTATAACTAGAATTAAAATTAATATAACAAAACAAATTTAACAAAGAAAAAGTATTTGTATAAGAGAAATTAATGTGATGTCTATGATACCTATTTGGAAAATCAACAACAAAAGAGCTTAATAAAAAGTATATAAGAACTAAATATATTCTAAATTCTATTTAAATAATAAAGTATGACATAGTTATGAGTCAAACTCAAATTGGTATATGTAGATAAAATATTCAAATCAAAGCATGCATATTGCACACAAAATATAAAAACAGTGAAAAATAATGTAAAGACTCCACACCACCGATCCTACAAGTTAGAAAACTAAAATTGTAAAATATTAGACTGTAAAAATATTGATATCAATAAAAATTGAATAAAAATATAAGCTAAAACTCTTAGAAGACATGGTGGAGAAGGAAGAAATGGTTTTTCATGATCATTGCAACTCCCTAACAAAATTAAATGTGAATCAACATAAATCATGGATTATATATGCAGTGGTATACAACATCAATAACACTTTCAATAAAAAAAAAACTACATATTTGAACACATAAACCTTTAAGAAAAATGAACTATACAAATTATCTGGTAAACAGAAAAAATACCAAAATCTTTGCAAGAAAATCTTTCTCTAAATTAAATGTATATGTACGTCAAAGTTGGATAATTAGATATTTGTCATTGTTATTATTTTACCTAATAATTTTTAAAATTTTATAAATAAAAATATGAGAAAATTAAATATTATTTATTAAATTCTCTTATATATGAAAATTTCTATAAATATAATATAGTTTCAATAATATAAAAGATAGTAGCTAAAACAGAATTAAATCAAACTATTAATACAGACTCGCGCGTAGCGCGAGTTATATACCTAGTCTACTAATAAAAATTGATGTTAGATGCCTTTAAGGGTGTCCACATAGGATTTAAAGGGTACACATTAACTATTATATATATTAAAATTAATTTAACTTAATTTTTATTGTTATTAGTAAATTTTCTAAATTTTAGTTAATTTTATATTTGTTATTATTAGGAAAGTTTCTAAATTTTTAGATAATTATTAATAAAACGAGTTTAACAATAAAGATATTATTTTCTTGTTAAAAATAAAAATAAAATTAACATATTATTAGTTATAAAAGATCATATAAATTATGAAAAGATTCATTTCACTGATCTATATCATTTTCTGTAATTAATTATAATTTTTAAGTTAACTATCTTCTTTATTGACTTATTAAGCAAATATCTAAATTTAAATATTATACTAACTAATAAAATATATAAAGATAAGTAAATCATGTAGAATAAAAAAACCAACTTAATATAAGATTAAAAAAACCTATTACTTAAAATAACACTTTCAATTATATAAAAATCATCTAAAATTAATAATAAAATTTTGTTTTACATATAATATAAATAAACTCATGTTTAAAGAAAAATTTATTTATTATAATATAATAATTTTATCACCATTGTCTGTTATAAGTTATAAAAAAGATTAATTGTTTAAAAAACATTTTACACATATTACTTATAAAAATTAAAACTATTTGAAGGCAGCAATATTCATATATGACTTGAAACAACCAATTCATAACAAGAATAGTGCTAAAGATGATGGCAAAAGTTATTTTCTTTGGTTAGAAGAATTAAAGTATTATTGTATATTTTCATGTTATTATTATGTTTATTAAATAGAATATGATTATTATTTTTACTTTTTTATTTGGCTATTTGTATATAAAATTACAAGTGTTTGATCAGACAAAATATTTTTTAAATTAGACATATACAGATTTTTATAAAAAGAACTATAAAGACAAATAGAAAATTATGATTTGAACAACTTTGTGTCATTTTGTAGCATTTACAAAGAAGAATATACTTTTGCTAAAAAAACTTGATCGAAACTATATTTTGACATGATAAAATGCAATCTCAAATAGATTTAGGTATATCAACTCGTGTATTTCAAAGATATTTAGTATTGAAAGATTGATCGACTTTTATTTATTGATTTTGTTTCAAAACAGAAGTATAAATATTTGACCTCATTTTAATTAATGTTCTAGATAACAATACATGGAATAACAAAATTAATTCATATTTCAAAATATTATTTAAAAAATAAATTAAAATAATAAATAGAATAAAATAGAAGGCAAATAGTCAAAAAGTGAACGTAATCTAGGTGAACTCAAATAGTAAATAATAAGTAAATAAAAGAACTAATGTAGATATAAGAGCCAATAACCCCTACTTAAGTCTTTGA